GGGTTTTCTGTAACATCCCTAATTTTGTCTTTGCTACAAACAGACTCAAAAAATATATGAAACACGCAGCAAATCATAGTCTGTGCTGTGCCTACTTGGTAATCCTGTCATAACAGCAGCCTCAAACCTTTGAAGAGGCACTCGTCAGCTTGGGTGGAGCCTAAGCTGGCATAGGTAACGCACTGGTTCTTTAAAGGGAAATTATAAACCAGATTCATCTGACCAGTTCATTGTGGTCTTTATGGATGATGGCACAGGAAACTGTTACCAGATAAAACCCTGTTACCCAAAAAACCAAAGTTAAATAACGAAGGAACGCATTGATTAGGAAACTATTTAAACAAAATAATTAATTGGAAACAGTTTAAAGGCAATCCATCAAGTATTAAAAAGGAATATACACCCCTCGTGTCTTTATGTCTTTCCTCCAAGCAGCCAGACTTTCTTGTCATTTTTTAAACTGGTCTTCTTTTTGACATTGGCTACTTATCCACTCATTTTCAGTCCAGTCCTTGCACCTGACCATTTCCAAAGGAAAGACTATTTGTTGATCCACTTAACACTGACTTATGAATCATTCAAGCATAAAAAAGGCATTAAACTCAAGGGATGAACCAGTCTTGTGTCTGCACATAACAACCACCTTAGCAAAGAATCAATTTTACGGAAAATGCCAAAGATAACATAGTTTGATATGCATAAAATAGTATTTTTGCACCAACAAGATAAAAGAGCAAAGCAAAATTAGCTTAAAATGTTGCAACTCTCATGGTGTGTAGTGTGTTCTTAAGGATTTTGAAGAAACTGGACAAGCGGAGGACAAAAGAAGACGTGAGCTGGAGATGGACCCCTTGTCTCTTCTCCTAGATCTGTGTAATCTGCATATCAAGGATGGATGTCACAGAAAAACGATTTAATGTCTTGACATATTGTGCAAGAAAAAACATTTTGTTTCATATCTACCGAATACTTTCAGTTCGCGGAGCTATGCTGCTGCACATTGTAGTTTATTGTCATCCTTCTGAAATAAGGAAGCTCAAATCTGTTTGGCAGTACATATGTGGCTCCAAAATAAATAAACAAACTGCATGCTTATCTTACTATTAAACTTTGCAGTCTATTGCAGTCCCATCACAGCTATTTGAAATATATTGCTGGCATCAAATTTCATGTGAGCACATATTTAACTTTTTTAAAACCTGCATTCTCCTTTTATGATACAATTTAAGCAATCCATCTTTATGCAATCAATGTCATCCTTTGAGTTACAGTATAGTTTAAAATAGAAGTGCACACTATAACGTAAAGATTTCCTCATTATGGAACATGCCCCAACTATTAAAGTGGCCTCTAAAAAAAGTAATCCACAAATTTACTGTAGTTCAGGATTTAAGGATGAATCCCTGTGGAGGTTCTTGAGCTATAAATAGGCATCTTTCTCCATATAAACTCTGACATCTTTATAGGAGCGCTGACTGTACACGAGCTACGATGTTCAAGCAGCACACAGCCTTGTAAAGAAAAAAAAAAACGTAAAAAAGTAAATGGGTTACAAAAGGCAACATGCAAACACGTAACAGAGAGCAGTTAGGAGTTAATAGAGCTTAGTAGTCAACACAATTAAGTGTACCTTTAAATAATGGTGGAAAATTAAACTCATTTGCACGAGTGCATTTATTACAGATAACGTCCACCAGCCAAATGTGGACAAATGTGTTGAATGCAATACTGACGTTGTAAAAAATATATATATATATAAGAATAATAATATCATCCATCCATCCCACATTTGTCCAAGTGGGATAATAATACCAGCAGTGGAATTTGGATGTTATGGGAAACATGGAAGCTCAGCAGAACATTAAAACAAGATCCCCTGAAACTATCAGCTGTAAGCTTATTACAAGCCCAGACGATGTAAAACAAACAATCTGAAATCACTTTTTTCCTTCCCTTCTGTTAAACAGCTTTGATTTCAGGTGTTTAAGCTGCACATTCATTCTTTATAACTTCATTAGTCCTGAATATGCAACAGCTCTGCGGTTAGAAAAGTGTTTTCAGTGTTTTACTAATTATATCATGTTTGATAAACATCCTCTGCACAGGATGTTTATCAGACTGTTATATGAATGCTATAAGTCAACAAACAGGCGTTAACTCCATCCCTGCAAACCCACTGTGATCAAGTTTAGTAAGAGCTAAAATGGCAAGACTAAAACACAGAATATTCAGGCATGTGTCATGATGAAACATAACAATGAAATGCAGTAAATTTGGATATCGTAACAAAGGATCACGATTTCACTTCTTTTAATTCACAACTGTGAAATATGTCCAGCTGTCAGACTAAACCAGGCTCTTTGCGCACTGTTAGTTTTGCTGAACAAATGAGATTTTATGAGGCAAGTGAAAACAGAGAATTCTAACTGCAAAGGGAAAAAATCTGGCTGTATAGCTATACTTGTGCTGAGCCCACAGTTGCTGGCACCGCTGACAAGCAACAAGCCAGCTGCTGTTTCCGTGCCAACCAGTGGCTTCACTCAGACTGAAGTGTTTGTCTAACCAATCACCAGCTCAACTTGTCAATTAAGTCATTCGGTGACTTAATTGTTGGAAAGACAACCAGAAACCACAAAAAAGAGAAAGAAAAGAGACACGTTTCACTTTTTTTGTTTGTTCTTTCGCATCTAGGAGTTTCCTGACTCTGACTTAACCACAAAGCCCCCCACACAGTCACTTTGGTTAACATAATAAACTTGCGGTCTCAGATGCTTCAGATAATCTAGATCAGATCACAGCTGAAGGCAGAAGTGTTTACACCCTTTTAATGGCCACAGTCAAAGACCCTCTCTGATCTTTGATTGTCTTGGTAGATCTGACATGAAGAATCACACACTTTGGGACAATCTGTCCTTGAGAGCTCACACAGAAGTGATTTAAGTGGCTTTGAAAAGGGTCCCCCCCCTTTTTTCCCCATCAGAGAGACTGTGCCTACCACTGTTTGTGTGTGTGACGTTTATTATCCTACAATTTCTATTACTTCTCTATCACTTTTGTTCACTTGATCGTGAGAGAAACGTTCAGCACCGGGATGCTTTGAACAAATATGTGTAATGTGCATTATTGCGCGCAACGCGTGGCTTCGCATCTCTGCGCAGACGTTTAAAAACAGAGCGCATTCTTCGACGTACCTGTTTCCACAGAAAGCTGTCCGTTTCGTTTAACATCCAAGAAATGGCCACGTGGATGGCGGAAAGAATAACTCCAGTGATGACCGCAGCGCGCATCCTGACGGGAAGCAGAGTGTAGATGACATGGATGAAGAACACGGTCCACCAGATCCCCTCCGAGGCACTTCTGGGCTGCACGAGCAGTACTCCGATCACCTGGATCACCAACACCATCAGGATGACCACGTAGCACACGACCCACATGTGGTCCTGGTGAAATCCGTTCCTGTTGCAGATTACCATGAGCACGAGCGTGAGGAAGATGGCCACAGAAAATACCACCACGTACGTTACGCTCGGTCCCGATCTCCCACCGGAGCAGTGAAAGCCCAACATGACCGTGTACACCAGCACGAGTACGCCCATGAGCATAGTCAAGCTGCTCTGGTTGAGACGGAAAAAGTAGCGCTGGTAGAGCCGCTCCAACTTCTCCGACTGGAATTTTTTGGATTTGAAAATGTGCATGACGCTGGTGCAGCACGCCACGAAGGAAAAGTTTACTTCGGGCATGACCTCTTCCTCGTCGCTCCTCGGCTTGGCTCTCCGCTCTTCCAGACCCAGCTCCACGGACTTGGGTCTCACCTCGCCGTCTGGACGTTTAGAGGACGCGCGGTTGTTGTCTCGGCTCTCCTCTCCATGGTCCTGCCAAGCCGACCTGGACCTGAAGCTGACCCTGCTGACGGTCGTGGAGGCTCGCCCGGGCGGCCGGTGGTCCAGATCATCCTCCTCCGTCCACCGGCTGTTGGTCCGGGTGAGCTTCCTGCGCGGAGATCTTGCTGAGTATGGGCACCCGTTGGCCACAGACTGAGACTCTCCCCAAGCTGATCTGTGCTCGGTCCCTCCCCTTAACCCGGGCGCACCGACTCCGGGTGGGCTGACACTGTTTGATCTGGACATAGTGGAAAAGTGGATGCAGTGACAGAATGTTATCTAAACAAATAGCCTACACGAGACAGGGGAGGGAAAAAGAAGTTTGTTCCACTTAAAAGAGGGAAGGGAACTATTTCGTCCCAAGGATGAGGCGCATTAAATGTCTTTTATTAGCTGAACTTTCCATAGCTGATCACGCTTCAGACAGCCAGAGGGCTTTGACTGTAAAATGTAAAGTTATCTGTCAGTTTAATCGCCACTTTCAGAAGCAAACTGTCCTTAAAAGCCTTTACAAATAAAACGAAATCACCAAAAGCAATAGCCGAGAGTAGTGAAAAGCTCTGGGAATTAAAAAAAACAATTGAACATGCGCAAAAAGTCACAGGGGAGCCACGAGAGGAGGGAACAGTAGATCCAGGTGGATTTGGCTCTACATCATTGGGCCCAATTAGCCATCATCCACGGAGGTTGCAGGGCACGCGCTGCAAATGGAATAAACCCATTACACAACTCGGATAGTTCCCCAGAGATCATAGTGCAAGCAGCAGCATCAATTGGCCAATTCCAATCCGTTATATGTGCAGACACGTTTCCCGTATCCTTGTCAGCGGTTTGCAGGCGGAAAAGACGGAGGTGGGATGCCATATGAAGGTGAATGCCATGGTGACGGCTCTGATCACGTCCACTCAAATCCTCATGCACCTGTACTGAGCGAACATTGAAGCCTGCTCGGCAGCGGCGGGGGAGCCTCACGTTTGGCCAAAAATCAGCATCACGATTCTCTCACACTTGCACTGAGCAGAGAGGAGAAGTCAACCGCTCCTCCTCCTTCTCCTCATCTGACAGCCACAAAAGACAGCTTCTCCGTCCATGGTTAAAGAAAAAACAAACCCGCGTTACCGCACTGTTCAATTCACCGTCAGCCGCTGCGCCAAATCAATGTCCAACAGCTGCCCATCACTGTTCAAATCCCTGAAGAGCGACCCCCCCACCTCCCGACTTGGTTTGCAGCGACACTCCTCCTGCGCGCGGTCATTTCGCAAAGTGACTAACCGGTGCAAAAGTGCGCTCCCGGCGCATCGGACAATACGCTCGGTGTGCGTTTGGAGCGTGGCATCATAACATATTTACCGCTGATTGCTGCTTTAATGGTCATTCAACCAAGTTTGCTTCCTTTGATCCGCCTCTCCGGCCCGCTTCCATTGGAAAAGAAAAGGGGTGAGTCACGCTTTGACGCGCTTTCATTGGATGACAGCTCGATCAATCCAAATCAGATTCTGCGCGACCCCCGAGCGCTTTCGATGAATGGGCGGGACTGCGCTCACAGCTGGATAACCCGCATGGCACACCCCACACGTACCTTACAGCATGGGTTGAATCTTATCTCAGCGACCCCCCCAGCAGGTTGCCAGTTCCAAACTGCGTCCCCCTACTCCAGGACAGCTCTAACAACAGTAACACAGAGATTTGTTCATCTTCAGCTGCGATCTATAGCAGCTTGAGAGACATTAGTCAGGACAGAGAGCACTAAAGGGGTTTAACAGAAAGAGGTTTTAAAACCAATCTTCATAAGCCCTTTATGTTTAATGAGATTTGACTGGTGATTCAATACATGTGGTTTTTGTTTCTCGGTGACAATTACATTCAAATGTAACTTATACTTCAACTTAACTGTAAAAGTTCCCAGAGGCGCCAGAATTCCCTTTAAAACAACTTCACTAATATTCCCACATTGTTCTTGCTCAAAAAAGTAAAATTGTCCTTTTCTAGACCGAAGTACATGCTCATTACATAAATAATGGATTTTTCTTTATTTATATTTTGGTCCAGTCTGATTTTGTTTGAAGTCATGGCTTTTATTGTGAAGCGTTTTTGTTCTACAACCTAAATATTGTTTCGTTAACAGATTTAGTCATTTACAGGCTCACACTGGATTTGATCCACTTGTAATGGGAATGGGATGTAATGGGTGTGCCCTGTTGTCTTGCAGCTCTTCCACTTTAAAGCCTGCAAATGTCTTTGCTGCCATTTACACATGGGGGAAAAGAACACTGTGTGTTAATGAATGTACTGGGAGCATGTGACAGGGAGCCTCATGTGTTTGCTGTGACCGGCTCACCTCCAGCTGAATTCCCTTTGCCCTTTCTGGAATTCTTTCACTGTTAACGGAGAGAACAGTGGATTCTATTCAGCGCCGTCCTCGTCAAATGAAAAGAGACTCAGATATAAATCTGATACAAAATAATCTCGATCCGAGTGGTGCGACTGATTTTCTCAACTTGTCTTATGACTCCTTGTTCTGCTTCCTTGTTGCTCTCTTGCACAGCACAGAGAGAAAAGCAGCCATATTCAGTTCCTGCAAAGAGCCTGTGTTTGTGGGTTTATTTAGGGAATATTGCTGATCTCCTTTTTTTCTCACCTTTTCAGAATTGCATTCATGAACGTGTACTGCACGTGCTGTGTCATTCAGCTTCACCTCATTTCAGAGAAAACCATCCTACCTTTTACAAGTAACTCCACACCTGCATTTTATGCCCAAACTGTATTTCATGTGATTTCTATTTACCCCATAACAGGTGCTCATTATTAGCCCTGGATATCTCGCTTCTGATCATTTATCTCTACCCCTCCTCTTCACATCCTCTCTCAGCCCACACACAAATCTCCTCTTTGGCCTTTCTCTTTTCCTTTTTGCTTCACCATCTTCAATATCCTTGTTTAACCTACTAATCCTCCCCATCTGCATTGCTCCCAGCCCAAATCTCAGCATCTTTGTCTCAGCTGCTTCCAGCTCTACCTGCCTTTTCATCAGTGGCACCCTCCCCATCTCGTCTAGCTGGATAACTAACTCCCTCTCACTCCCACTGGTACAAATCACTCCTATTCTTCACTCCTTCACTCAGTCTCCTCCCCATCCAGCTTGGACTCTATTCTTCATCTGTCCTCAGCACCCTCAGTCAACCAGATTAACCACCGCTAGTCCAACTACCTTGCCTCCCTCTCATGTATGCTCCCATTCCCACTAGTGTTTTCATTCCTATTCTCTCCACCTGCTCCATACCTGCAGCCAGAGTCTCTCTTATTTTCTCCCAACTCTCCCTGCAGTCCATCTGCATCTACCTAGGAATTCTATTGCCATCTGTTTCAGACGTCTCTCGTCTATAGGCATTTAGACAGACTTTTAATTGAAACGGTATGAAACAGAGTCCAATCTATACAAAGTGTATGAGGAATGGCTTTCACATTTTACATAGTGTATTTTTACCTATAAAATACATGATCAATTTAGGAACAATAAGAACTTCTCTTAACAAGTATAAGGTCACTAAAACACTGAATTAAAATTAGCCTGAGTTTAAATCTCTGGCTTAAAAGATGGAATATAATGTGCATAACTAATGCTTTATATTGCTTATATTTTGGGGGGTAAAAATTGCCAGATCTTCTTCATGCAAAGGGGCTTGTGTCAGGTAGTTTTGC